TCTTTCCCTCCCTCCCTCCCTGCTAACTCCTACTTATCCTTCAGATTTCTGCCAAGACTACTTTCCCACAGAAACCTTCTTAGAAATGCCACTTCAGGGAATTCCCTGGTGGTCCAGTGGTTAGGACTCTGCACTTTCACTGCCAAGGGGCTGGGTTGCATCCCTGGTCAGGGAACTAAGATCCCACAAGCCACGTTGCGTGGCCAAAGAAAAGAGAAAGAAATGCCACTTCAGAAATCCCCTTTACACAATCTCTTAGCACCCTGTACTTCTGTGAATATCAAACAGTCATAGTTAAATCGTAATCTGTGTAACTATTTTCAAGACATTTTTTCCTCTTCCGAAATATAAAAGAATCTCAACCTGGCACACCGCCCTACCCTCTGTACACACAACGAAATCTCAAGAATACCTCTTAAAGGCCAACAACCCACTAGAAAAATGAGCAAAGACAAAAAACAGGTTGTTTGCAGAAAATGAAATAGAAAGGAGGCAGAGACTCCTTCCTAATTTAAAAGAAACAAAATAAGATGAAATACCATTTTTTATGACTATCTGATTAACCATGATGAAAATGGTTGATCAAACTCAGAGACTGCCACTTCCCCACATGGATGCTGGGCACTTAATGGGTGCAGGCTCTCTGGAGGGCCGTGCTGTGATGCACGCAAAATCCTAAATGCACATTTCCTGTTAGCCCACAGACATGCAGGATAAGTGACCCAAAAGATGCACATGCAAGAACGCTGTTCCTTGGAGCACTGTTAAAAAGCAAACACTGGGGCTTCCCTGGTGGCGCAGTGGTTGAGAGTCCGCCTGCCGATGCAGGGGACACAGGTTCGTGCCCCGGTCTGGGAGGATCCCACATGCCGCGGAGAGGCTGGGCCTGTGAGCCACGGGCCGCTGAGCCTGCGCGTCCGGAGCCTGTGCTCCACAACGGGAGAGGCCACAACAGTGAGAGGCCCGCGTACCGCAAACAAACAAACAAAACAAAACAAACAAACAAAAAAAAGCAAACGCTGGAAACAACTTAAAGCATCCGTCAAGAGGGGATTGACAAAAAACAGAGGCTCTTTTTTGGCCACTGAGTGGCGAGTATGATGAACTCCCTGCCCTTATAGCTGCTACTTGCACAGCAACCCTGTCTGCAGGGGCAGTGCCTGCCTGCTCACTACATACCCTAATGAGGCCAGGTCCACACAGCTACAATCAGAATCCAGGCTCCATCATTTTAATTTAGTTTCTCCTTTACATTACAGTAAGGCATTACACTGGCTCTTCTAAGATGATGTGTTTAGAGGGATTCGTTACCTATTAATTTCTGATTAATAAAGGAGGAACTACACAATGTTTGTTATTAAAAAAAAAAAAATCATGTCTGAGAACAGCTGGTTTAAATAAATGGAGATGATAACGATACAGCCAAACAAGTGACTATGGAGCCATCGCAAAGCATAAGGCAATATTCTATGTACTGTAATGAAAGAATCATAAGTAATAGTTAGTTTTTTTAATGCAGATTAGGGTATATGGTATGGTCCCATTTGTGTATTTCTAGAAAAGGAATTATGTGCATAAAAACTTCCTGGAATGATTTTTTTTTTAATGGTTAAACTGTACAGATGGAAGAGTGATTGTTACCCTACATTGACTATGCTTTGGTACAATTCCAAGTTTTACCATTTGCATGTGTTACTTTCATCATTTAAAACCCTAGTTAAATGAAATTATTAGAAGAGAAAAATCCACAATGAAGGAAGTTAAATAGGGTCAGAAAACAACACTACTGGATTGTAAACCCAAGGATGCCTGGTTTACATGAGAGGACAGGCCACCCCACTCTGCACCTCCTTAAAGGTGAGGGTGATAACAGTACCTGCCTGGCAGGATTGTGCTGAGAAAAAAGTGAGTTTCCAGAGCAGTGCCTGGAAGCCTGCCAGGCACAGAGCAACTACTCAATAAGTGTCGGCCATTGCTAGGATCTGTGATGGCTGTCAACTTGACCCAGCCATGGGGTACCCAGATATCTGGCCAAACATTATTCTGGTTGTTTCTGTGAGGGTGTTTTTGGATGAGATTAAGATTTAAATCGGTAAACTGAGTAGAGCAGATTCCCCTCCATGATGTGGGCAGGCCTCATCCAATCCACTGAAGGTCTGAATAGAACAAAAAGGCTGACTCTCCCTCGAGTAAGACAGAATTGCTCCTGCCTGACTGCCGTCCAGCTGACATCAGCTTTTTCCTACCTTTGGACTCAAACTGAAATACTGTCTCTTCCTAGGATGGCGAGCCTGCTAATCTTTGGACTGGAATTACACCACTGGTTCCCTGGATCTCCAACTTGCCAACTACAGATCTTGGGGCTTGTTAGCCTCCATAATTGTGTAAGCCAATTCCTTATAATATGATATATATATGTAATATATAATGTGTATATATATATATATATATATATATATATATATATATATATATATATATCCTGTTGGTTTTCTCAGGAAAGCCCTGACTAATACAAGATTTATGAAATTTGATTTGTTCCAGGTCTAATTACAGTTACAAAGTTTCTGTTCATAATAGTTTCACTTGATTTGCTCAAGTCTGTCAATGTTCACACAAGATCAGACGTCAGAGAAGAAAGCCAAGTTTCTCTGGGCCGTGAGTCCCAGAGTCACCAGTGAACTGTGTGGCTGGGAGCACATCCGAACCCAGCTGCAAGGCACACCCAGCACCCTCTCTTGCTGAATCCCTGGGAAGCCCCTACAGCAAACCTCCGCAGAGTGGGACAAACAGGGTGCTGACGGCAGAGGCCCACATCTGGCCGCTCCAGTCCCACTAAAGAGCACCTCGAACAAAGTGTGTGTGAAGTGACACTTGCTCTAATACTCGCAAAACAGATTAATGTAAATCCATCATGAAAACTTGGCATCTAAAAGGACACCCTTAGGAATACTATTTGTGGCTGAGATCAATGTTCTGAAGCCCCTGCAAAGCAGCCCTGATCAATCCTTTAATAAGATTACTCTTTACTTTTCTTGTAATTTATTATTTGCCAGCTTCCTAAAATGGTTTAAAGTAGGCAGACTAACACCAATACATTAGGTGCATTCAAAACCTGCTTCAGATTCAGAACGAAACCAATTAGGAGGATAAAAATATAGCAGGCACCTGCAACTGTAGCCTCCCAATCACATGTCAAGAATCTTACTAATACATTTTAACTAAATTTTACAGTATATGTCAAAACCTTGTGTGATAAATATTCTACCCACTCACCTAAGGATGAGAAATGGAGAAGCAAGGTCAGCTGGTAACTCTCGATATCATTTACAGCATGTTTAAAAGGCAAATGTGAATGTTTTGTGTTTCGCTGAAGATTAACTGTTAGCTCTAAAATCAGCATAACAAGGCCCTCCTCCTGTACTGCATTTGCAAAAACAAACCAACTGCTAAATAGGGGCCATTCCACTGAGAGAAGAAGCAAAGAACATTTCTAAATGATAAAGTTGAAAAAAAACTTGTAATTCCCTAGATTCTAATTCACGTTTTCTCTCTCTGTGAAAGAAGAGATGTTTCACTGTCCATTCTTTGCTGTTTCACCTAGCCAAGTAAGTACCATTTACATCATATATTTTCAATGGAAAACACAGTAAAAATTGTATTCTAGACAGGAATTGACAAGCAAGATTTTACATTCAATTCATAAAAGAAGTCCACAACACTTTAATTTGAGCATGTTTTCAGAGGACAAATCATCAACTCTGATGGCTTTAAATCAGTGACAGAAAAGGAACAAATCTGAAATGGTGGGCCTGTGATGACAAGGACACCAGACAGGACAGTTCCCATAAGCGTAGTGGCAGCAATCCTGTCCGGGGTCACAGCGAGTCATTTCCACCTCTGCCCACCTCCATGGCTCTGAGGGAGAGGCCAGAGCTCATCTACAGACACCAGCAAAAAGCTGGCCTCGAACAGATGCTAGTTGAACAGAATTATTGAACAAGCCTGAAAATACTTTAAATACACAGACACACACACAGACACACACACAGACACACACACAGACACACACACAGACACACAGACAGACACACACACACACACACACACACACACACAGCATCTCCATTATCTCCCATCCAGAGTCTCATCTGTCTTGAAACCTAAAACTGAATAGAACAGGGCAAGAGGAGCTCATGCCTCTGAGGAACTCACTGGTTTGTGGCCCAGCAGATTGTGAGTAACAGCATATAGACAGGACAGAAACCAGATGGGTCATCAATCATCAGGCTCTGATCAGCCTGGAGGAAGTGAGGAGAAACGTCGGCCCCACATCAAGAGACAAGCCAGAGCAGAACTGATTAGCAAGCTCACCGTCACCGGGGTGTGGATGGAGGTACAGGGCCAAGCACATTTAGTACAGAAAAAAAGTAAAGTGGGGCAGAAAAGAGGGAAGGAGCGGGGGAGACACCCTGCCTGACTCTGTTCTTCACCTCCTGAAAAATTCCTTGCTGGACCAGACACCAGGTGAAGCTTTAAGAAACCAGGATAAGACACAGGATCAGGAAAATCAGTAGGAGAGGCCAGAAGGGGCCTCAGAGACTGTGGTCAGCCGCTGCAGAGAATTTCAAAGAGCAAGGTGGTGGAGTCCAGAAGCCTGGTCCCAACTCAGACCCACTGCTCATGGCCCTGCAGGGGTCACCTGCCTCCCCTGAGCCTGGATGAGGGGCTGAGGGGTGAGCAGCCTCCGAGGTCCCTCCGCTCTGCCTGTCAATAACTCGATACTGCAATTCCCCACCCCAGGTCCAAGGACAACCTGCCAAGCCAAACAGAACAGGAGAGAAACAACTTTCCCCGTGCCCTTTTCACCCTTCCGGCCGCAACTTTCACAAAGAAAAGCAACAGTGGACATGTCGGGCAAACACACTTACCACATGAGCTTGTCCGAATGAGCCTGCCTGGGCAGAGTCTTGGCAGAGGCTGGGCCCTCACGGGCTGCTCAAACTGAAATACCAATGCCATGTGCAGAAAGAAACTCCAACAGCAATTCAGCGCGAACAGCGATCCCCCATTAGCACCCAACCCAGGCAGCACCTCAGCACAGCCAGCTTCTGTACCTACTCAGCAGTTCTCTGAGCTTGCTTGTTGGGGCAAATCCTAAGACTACTCGCTGCCCTGGAAGCACAATGGGTTACGTAACTAGAGGCAGCATAGGCACCCTATCGGCTCATCTTGTTAAACTGCCCCAAGCAGAAAATGACGCACCCCAAAATGTGATATCCCTAGGTTGAGGATAAGGGGAGGGAGAGGGGGAGCAGGGCTTTGTGATGGGCATTTGGGCTTTGCCTAAAAATTAAAGAGGAACAAAAAGCCTGCTGTTCATCTCAGCGCTCCCCAGGAACTGTGGGTGGCGTGGATTTATTAGAGGCCGGGTGCCAAACGGTCTCCCAGGACTGCACTTGGCAAAGCCCTTGGAGTCCACATACGCATTCTCAGAGAAACTCCAGATCTCTGGAAAATCTTTTCTGCTTTGTGTCTTCCTCTCAGTGACCGACAAATAAGACTTTAACCTGAGCGTGTTCTGCGTTGTCTGGCTGCACCTTAAACACGTAACACTGTCTGTGTTTACACTCCTGTTTACCAAGCCACTGCCAAAAGTGACAGCACTGAGCTGCTTCTCAGCTGTCCTATGGTGCTTGCTACAGATGTTCCAGCAAAGAACCCCCGGTTACCATGCCCCATAGCCTTTGAAGTTTCAGCACTGCAATTGTGCCATTACTTTGCCCTCGGTTGTCATGTTCAAAGCGAAACTACTCTAACGAGCTAAATGTTTCCCGGATTTCACTGGCACAGATGCCACTAGAATCCCAGTGATTAGCTCATGTGTTTAGACAAATGAAGATGCAGTTGGGACACTGCCTCCTCCGAGAAGCCCTCCTAGTCTCCAGGATCCTTTCCCCTCCAAGGCTCACCCAGGCACCCTCCTTGATGCTCTCCCATGTGCTGCGCTTATCACTGGTGTAACCATTCTGCACAGCCTATCTCCACTCACTCATCTACGTCCCCACCCAACTGGACAGTATTCCTTGGTGGGGGGTGGGGGGCAGGTGGCAGGGAACACATACCCCGGGGGGTCATGACCTACATGCAAGCCCCGCCCCTTAGAGCTCAGGATCTTAGGCCAGATGCTGAACCTTTCCTGATTTAGTCTCTTTACCTGTAAAAACAGGACAACAGTCTCCACTTAATGGGGATGCAGTACTAATTAAATGACACAACTCATTCATTCGGCAAATGTTTACTGAGCACTGGCCACAGGCAGGCGCTCTTTCAGACACTGGGACTCGGTGGTGCACAAAGTCCTTGCCCTTAGCAAGTTTCTATTCTACTGCAAGTTTGGTCAACGAAATACAAACATGTAATACTCATGGCTAAGTATGGGGAGACAGCTAAAGCAGGTAAGGGAGATGGGGAAGGTGGGTGTGGACCACCCTCTATGCAGGGGAGTCACAAAAGGCCTCTAAGGAAATGCCATTTGGAGAAAGTAAAGAAGGAATCAGGAGGACATCTAGGGTTAAGGCGATCCAGGTGCTGAGCAGCAGCAAGAACAAAGGCCCTGAGGTGGGATGTTCCGGGTGTATCCAAGAATTAGTGAGGAGGCCAGTGTGTCCAGAATGGAGTGAGTGAAGAGGAGATAGGTCAAAGGGGCACAGGGAGCCCTGTCACTTAGGCCACGGTCAGAAGGGAGCCCGCTGGAGGTTTGGAGCACAAGAGTTAAACCACCTGACGCTGTATTTAAAAAGCCACTCTTTTGGCTGGGCAAAGATTGGATTGCACAGAGGCAAGAAGGGAAACAGGAGGCCCAGTTAGGAGCCCACTGCAATGATCCGGGCGTGAGATGAAGGTGGCTTGGACCAGGGTAGTTACTGTGGGGCTGGTGAGAACCAGTCAAACTCTGGACACACTGGGAACAAAGAGTCAACAGACTTCCCAGCAAACCAGGGTCTGAAAGAAATACAGAGGTCATGAATGCTTCCAAGGCTTCTGGCCTGGGCAAATGGAAGGATGTAAGTACCATGTAGAAAGACCGCAAAGAAAGCAGGTGGAGGGGGAAATCAGGAGTTCATTTCCGGCCAAGTTAGTCAGAGATGCCCAACAGGCGTCCAAGTGCAAGTGTTGTTATGTGGAGTCAGACCGACACATCTGGCCTTCGGGGCAAAGGTCCAGTCTGAGGAACTGGAGAGTGGTCAGCATAGAAGCAGATTCTAAATCCCGGAGCCCGCGTGAGATCACTTAGGGCGTGGGTTACCCGAGAGAGTGAAGGGCTGAGCCCTGGGGCCCCCAAAGTTCCCAGAGGGGAGCAGCTAGCAAGGTCGGGACCAAAGCCAAGGGAGGACCGTATTTCCAGGAGAAGGGGGTGGTCGGCAGTGTCAACTCCT